TTTTTTTTTTTTTTTTTTTTTTTTGTTATTTTGTTTGATCGTTAGCTGAACAAATTTGTTAATTTCAGAATTTTGTAAATCTTCGCTTTAGTCTTTGATTCAATTTCGGCTATGAATCGAATGATGATCTTTGAAATTGCATTTATTTTCTGTATTTTCTTCCGAAAAACTCTAAGTTGCTTGAAATTGGGCAAGTCATTGTGTTTAATGACATTTGTCCTGGTTATTATATTTCTAGGCCTATATTGAAACTCGTCCTGCTTCTAGATCCATGTCAATGCCTCACGAGGACAGTGCATCTTCACATACTCAGGTAACTTTTCCCTGTATATTTCTTCTTGTTTTCTTAATGAGAAATGAAGTAACAGCTGTAATGGCTTACGTAGAACAAAATTTTAAATTAATTATTGATATGAAATAGGCGTGATATGAGAGAACAATAGCATAACACCATTGATGTACCCCGAAGTATTTTGAACGGCTGCAATCCGTTGGTCCTTGAATCGTTTCCTCATGAGAAAAATAACAGTCTAACTTGCTAAACTTTCGAGCTATTGAATAATCCTAACATAATCAAGCCAACCGGTTATTAACCATGAAGAACCTACCCAACCAGTAAGCTTTCTTTCACAGATTTGCCCCACTTCAGTTTAATAAGACTCAACAAAATTGGAATTTCTAACCGGTTGTTCACCACGAAACTGCATTTTCATTGTCTTTGAGATTATATCTCCACCAGAGTGTCTCTAGATAAATGCCACGGTTTAGTTTGGTGGGTTAGTTTTTCTTTTTCAAATAAAAAGATTGGGATTTCTAATATGTTACTGTTTGTAGTAAATTTTCTTTATTGTCATTGGTATGTTCCAGAAATAGAATTGTAAAAAATATGTAGTGTGTATATATGATATTTCTCCCTGGATTGCTGGGAAGATTGAGGTGCATCTAGCTGGTTCTTTTGAAAGATTTTATTTGTGGTATCCCTAGCCCACCGCTAGCAGTTATTGTTCTCTTTGGGGCTTCCCCTCAAGGTTAGCGGTGGGCTTGGACTGTTACCAGGCGATGTGCCAACGAGGACGCTGGGCCGCCAAGGGAGGTGGATTGTGAGATCCCACATTGGTTGGAGAGGGGAACAAAGCATTACTTATAAGGGTGTGGAAACCTCTCCCTAGTAGACGTGTTTAAAAACCTTGAGAGGAAACTCGAAAGGGAAAGTCCAAAGAGGACAATATTTGCTAGGGATGGGCTTGGGCTGTTACAGTGAGATTGATGGCGATACGTAATAGGCCAAAGCGGACAATATCTGCTAACAGTGGGCTTGAGCTGTTAAATTATTACAATGGTCTGTCAACATAGTGTCTCAGGAGTCTAAAGGTGGTCACTAGCTTTTCCTCTTAAAGAGCTGAGGGGTAGCCCTCGACATGACATGAGACATTAGCTTCAATTTTAATAAAAACTTACACAAATCCTAAATTTATATGACCATGTATTGCACCACACAGCCCAAAGATAGCAATAGGTTAAACTGCCACAACTCATGTATTAGCATTCTTACACGGAAAACCTTTATTTATTTTAAGAATGTGACAAATTAAGATTATTCTTCTAATCAGTTCAGTAGACGAGGCATAAAGGACATTAAACCTTAGATGTACATGGAGACACAAGTCTCTTGATGGTTCAAGGAAGATGTAAGTTTTGAGGCTAAAAGTGAGAGCCTTGTCTCAAGATGAGCTTTTGTAACAATGGTTAGCACCTAAACCAACATGTCTATCCCAATGAATTACTTCAAAGCTCCGTCTAACTTTCATATGTGTGAGAAAAGGCTTAGTCTAAGTATGGGTGATGTGTCAAACATGCTATGAAGATTCAAGAAGTATGGTAGAGGACGCAGAACTAATGGAACTTGTACTTCTGTTCCTTTGTGCTTATATTTGCAGCTTTCATTTAATTTGTTTGGTGATCTCCTGGATTCCGTGATTGCCGATGTTGCATCGGAATGTCATCGAATAGCAAGGTTAGGTCTTGATCGTAACTTAGAAGAGGAAGAAGAAGAACTAAGACTTTCATCACAGGCACGTGAAAGAGTAGCTGATTCTTGCAATAGCAGTGAGGCAAATGGGAAATATGTAGTTGATATTTTTGGACAAACTCATCCTTCTGTCGCGAACGAAATATTTGATTGCATGAATTGTGGTCGATCAATCATGGCTGGGAGATTTGCCCCTCACTTAGAGAAGTGCATGGGAAGGGTAACTCTCTGCTCCTTAATATATGTTTTTCAGACACATTCTGCTTCTATTTTTTGTTAAATCTATTTTCACTTTGTCTCATCAATTGTGTATTCTACTATAGGGTCGAAAGGCTCGTCCCAAAGTAACAAGAAGTAGTACAGCTGCACAGAGCCGGTATTCACGAGGCAATCCTGTTTCATATTCCCCTTACCCTAATTCCACCAGCACGAATCGCTTACCTAATGGAACGTCTAGTCTTGCAGGGGAGGAGTACTCAAATGGTACATCCGAAGACCCATGAACAAGAAAGTAATGTTCTAATTGTTCCAATTTAGGAAAACATATTGTAATCTAAAATGTGCTCGCAAGAATTTAATGATATCTCCTGTCATGTTCAGTTTTATCATACATGACTTCTTTGTATGGGTTATCATTACATAGGAAAGAAAATGTCATGTCTGGAATCTGGATGTATTATGATCTCATTGCTTTCAACTGTTCCAAATTTTGATGTTGAAGATTTTGGACAGAAGTTCGAAAAAATGAAGTTAAATGCAAGTCCAATTTCATATCTTCGACGATCAATCTGGATATTTTGTCGATTTGGGATTCAATCTTTGGTGGCTACCCACTTAGAACATACATAATGTTTTCAATGTTTCAAATATTTCTAAGATGGAGTAGTAGTTAAGGATCATTTAAAAGTAGTTGCTAGCTCCAAATGTTTCAAATATTTCAATTCGCTTCATAAAACTCCCGTCCTTATCATACTAGATCCTCCGAAAGGGGTTACAAAGATTATGAAGACCGTTAAATTCTTGCCGTGTTCATTTCCTGACAGTTCCCAAGATATAGCTCTTTTGCTAGAAATTCTTTTAACAATTTTATGGAAGCAAATTGCAGGAAGGCGGTCCAAATTATTGCCACTCTATGCATCAGTGATCTCCACGTTCCACTTTCATTTGCTCAAAGATTTCAAGTCTGATTGCAGGGACCATCGTGCGGTGCCTGGAAGCTTATGAGACCTGAATGGCTGATTTCTTCTGTGTGCATATTGAACAAGAGTTGTGTTCAGATACGTCTCTCTCATACAAACAATTCTTATTTCTGCAATACAATTGCTTTGAATTTTCGACTGCCAAACTTTTCAATACTTAGGCTAATAACAAAGGAAACGTTTGGTAATTGCTTCTTGCCCTTGCCCATTTGTTTTTGTCTAGTGTAGAATGTGGTTATTACTTTTATAATTTTTAGATACTTTTGATTATGCATCCAACTGTGAATGATTAATTTCTTTAATTCATATAAACCACAAATTAGCCACTAATGAAGTGCAGGTGCTCCACTTAGCTATAATAAAGTAGTTTCTTGAGAAGATTTGGAGGAAAAAGAAGTTTCTACCTCTCTGTCCTTCCCTCTGTCTAGCAGGAATGAACACATCATCAAACACCGAAGGTATCATTATTCTCTTCATTCTAATCATGATTAGGAGCTTTATGAAGTCCTTATAGTTATTGCCACGCATGCTCTTATTTGAAAAGGTTATCATTTGCTCAAATAAAGAAGTGAGAGGTGGATTTCCTTCTCGTTCTGCTTTTGTTTCATTAAGATGTTTAGCTGTCACTTTTTGAGTGGATCTCTGAAAAATTAATCTTTGTTTTGTAAGATACTTCTGGGAGTGTTGGGTTTGTGTGTATTTTTGCCGATCGTATGCATACAAATATACATGATTTATTAATTGAGAAGCATTTTTTCTTGGAGCTTGAAAGTTCATGTTAACATGTAATTGTTTCAAGTATTTATAGTTTTCAACGTTATTTCTAATATTTTTTTTGCATCTTTAACTATCTTAAGCCAAATTATTCTATCATTTTCAGTGGATCTTGACTTTGAAACAAACATATCATGTCTTCCTAAGGTTGTTTGTAATATTGTCATAATTCATTATAAAGAGACTTTTTTTTTCTTTCCATGTGTAAACAAACAAGATGGATGACATTTATATGATCCATAGAAGATTTTCCTTTTAGCTTTTAGAATTCCTTCATGTTATTTATGAACTTCCCATTGAATTGAACCAAGATCCAAATTTTTTGACACATCGTACTTCCAGTTTGAGTTAAGGCCACTTCAAGATGATTAGTTTTTGGTTAAGGGGTTGAACGACTTAGTTTCGTAGTGACTTTAGATACTTTTGTTTATATGAATTGAAGCAGCACAAAAAAACAAGATGAAACTATGCTTCAAAATGTCCTCTTGGTCCCAGTCTGAATAGGATTCTGAGTATGATGTTTTTTTTTTTACTGCGGGAAATAAGGAAAGAGGGTAACAGCCAGGTGGAATAATAAAGAACGGACCACCTTCAGGCTGATGATTAAGTTCTCCCAAAAACGCAGAAGGAGATTGGTATTATATTCTAGAGTTTCAAAGGACACTGCGAAGGTGGCTCCAAATTGGGGAAATCTTTTAAGATTTTTTGTCACTGTTGTGAAAGTTACATCATAAAAGCTCCCACCACTCCAATTGGACATGGATTTTCTGGATATAGACCTATCTGTAGGACATGTTTAAATAACTTTTTGAGTGCTTAAAAAAGGATCATTTAAGTGTTGGAAACGTGTATTTAAGCACTTGAAAAGTTATTCTAAACAGGTCATACACGACATGGAGTTAGAAAATTGTAGTATGGTGGTACGTACGTACAAGATTCGAGTATCATTTATATGTTGGATGGTTGTTTAGTTTGTGATTTATTAATACTGATATGATTTTGGTCTTCATACTTCTCTTGGGTCTACAAAAAGGGCTGGTCTTGTAGTTGGTGGGGTTTTTGTCAACTCGTGAAGGCTATTTCTTGCTTCTTTCTTCAATGCCTTTATGCACCATAAATCTTCAGGGCATGATAGCAATTTCCAATGTGGAATCTCCTCTCTTAGTGAGTCTTCTCCTCCAATCTCTGTTACTATTGCTTTACAGTCCCTTGTTGTGGCCGCCACGTTGTGCACGTAATGGCACAACGTCCTCACCAGCTTCCCCGTCCTTGCCCCCTCTCGGTGAACCCCGTACATAAAGTAGAATCCGAATGGTTCGTAGAAATTTGGTATCGATGGTAACTTTAGGCATGGGAAGATCTTGTCTATCACCTTTGAGCTCTCTGTGTATATCAAGCATGACAATGGTGCCTTCCCAAGCCGCAACTTGAATACCTTGTCGAGAAAATCAATGAAATGAGTAAATAACTTATTGGCTTAGCAATCAAACTTCTTTGGTTAAGTTGTAGTTTAACACTCACCTCTCCACTATTCCATACGCTCAGCATTGCCCAGCTCTTTGGTATTGTCATTTCTGATTTGCTGCCACTTGTTTCAAAATTGGCGTCCTCGGCATCGTCGGTGTCGTCTCTATAGTAAGCAACCCATGTGCCGAGGCTTAGCTTGTGTCTGAGAACTTGATCAATGTCGTGGGGGAAAAACTCGGTAGAGGCCATGAATTTTCGGTAGAGATACTCGGCAACCCCGACTTTAAGACGAGAGATTTGGATATTGGAAGGGAGGTGATATGATCGGTAATGTTTCACTGGGTTCACCAAAATGGCCGGAACTCTAAAGTTAGTGTATCCAAGCTTGTAGATGAATAGTTTCACAGAGGCTTCATTGTCTTTCTCCGTTGCCATATAAGTATAGTCTACATCATTGGCCACGAACCATTCCTCGAGACGCAGGACAAGGCTGCAACCAATCCCTCTACGGCGAAACGACGGTACAACTCGAAGACCTAAAACATAGCCAACCTTGGCCCAGTCTTTCTGTGCTTGATGAACCGTGACTACCTTAATCGAGCCTTGAATCACACCGACCAACTGGTTATCAACTTCGGCCACCTAAAGTAACCAAAAGCTTAAGTTGTAAGTTAGGATGTATATATGTAAACAAGAAGGAAGGGAAGTGGTGAGAGGAAATACCAGCATCTTGTACAAGGGACTGTTTCTGATCCTACAAATGGGGTCTCCCATAGTGTCTGTGAAGAGAAAAACTCTTTCAGATGGGCCTACCTCACATCTTCTCTCTAGATCTTCCACTCTAACTCTATCTGCATATTGTCCATCATAGCTTCTTATTATCAAAATCTCTTCTTCGCATCCCATTTTTCTCTCCCCACTTCTTCGTTGACACAAAAACTGATACAGATATATATATATACACACAACTAGCTCTCTCTAGCCACTAATGTATATATATACTGCAAGTTCCCGGCCTTCTCTTTAGTACAAACTTGAGGGGCTTGAAATATCTTGAGTATGATCATTGTCATTTTATACCCGACGGTTGAGGATAGGAGAGGAGTCCCACCTCGACTAATTAAGAGGATGATTATGAGTTTATAAGTAAGATGAGACATTTTGGAAAAACCAAATGTAAAGTCACGAGAGCTTATACTCAAGATGGACAATATCGTACCATTGTAGAGGTCTGTGATTCCTTAACACCCATTTAGGAGGGGAGGGACACACAGAGAAGGATTTATTGAAGTTTTGCCATTTTTTCTGTAGTTTAATTAGATTGTCTCATGTCATAGACCAAGCTCATTAAGAATATTGATATTCTATGTGTCCCATATTCATTGGTTCATTAATTAACATACAATGTTATTCTTTTTTTATTATTAATGTCGGATAATTTTGATTAAAATCCCTCTGTTAACTGTTAACTGTTAACTGGTGTGGATGTAATGTAAACTATTATATATATAGAGAGAGAGAGAGGTTCTTTTAAGCTATGGTTTTTTGGATCCATCTCTAGTTTGTCGCCACTTGCCGGCGGATGAAGGGAAGAAAAAGGTATATTATCTCTCCCCAACTTGGCCTAAATTTTAGTGCATTGAGCTTTGCCTAAAGCAAAGTGCTTGTGGATTACTTTAATTTATTTGTTTAGCGAAAACCCCTTTTCGTTAATTAGGTAAATATCATTCTTTTAGTGTTTTTGTTCCCTAACTTTGTCTCTTTTGCCTATCAAGTCATGTCTCTTCAGCTCAAACGGATCTTAATAGCTATGTTTTTGTATCTACGTTTGCTGAGTATGATATTAACAAAAGAAACCTACGGTCGGGTATAGGACAAAGTTGAGAATATCGTCCTTACATTCGAAGAAAGTCGAGATAGAATTTAAGCTATTTATAATCGAGGTGGTCCTCTTTGATCACTTTCTCTAGAATGGGTTCGAAAATGAAAGTGAAGCCCCCACTAAAAAGCCATGTCTATACATCTTTCTTTCTCGAATTCTTTGTTATATATAATATGAATGAATGGGAATATGCATATTGATACAATATATATACTCTTTGTATGGCTTTTAAAGCGTGCGCATTTCTTTCCATTTAACCAAATGCGACAAATAAGTTACTATCATAGGCTCCATTATGCTTTATATTATAAGATTTCAAATTATATACCCACAAAAATATAACACTATACGGGTAATTCTTGAATTTATTAAATCGATCTATTGCTTTAGTATTATTAATAGTAATTTTTGTCTCGATTATTTTTTTTATTATTGTAATAAAATGTTCGGAGATTATATTGCAATATTGAAATTTGAATTTTTAGCAATTATACTTTTTGTATATGGAATGTTTTTATTAATATAAGTTTTTTTAAAAAAAATGAATACTATGGTTAGGAATATTTTTAGAAAAAAATTTGTGGGGAGTCTCGTTCATACGAGTTTCTAGAATTTTGTGGGAACAGGAACAAGAAGTCTTCTCTGTCTGTACCCTATTCTGTTCCGTTAACATTTTTAATATAAACATAACTCATTAACAATAATTAAGGTAATATAAAAATCTCTTTTTAATTTGTCGCGTGATGCTAAAACTTTATTGTAGCAAAAAGATGTATTGAAGTGTCTAATTGTTGTACTATGAACCCACCTTACCTGGTTGCCTTTACCCATCTTATCTAAAGGTCAACTAATGAGTTGTAGTGTATCAAAACCAATTGGCCGCCCACCTCTTTGGTAGAATCATTTCCACATAAGAAGATCTTCCTTTTGGCAATCTTAAACTTTTGATCAAACAAGACAAAACCGTCATCTTCAACTATTTTATAACACTGTATATATATATTTCAAGTCTCGACAACAAAAGGTGTTTTTTTTTTTTTTTTCGGGATTTGAAAATAAGGTTACAATCCAACTCTATCCTACCCTACATTTAAAATCATTACGAAATTTTGATATTTGATGTTTGTAATCGATGTTAATGATGCGTTGTGACTTGTGTATATTTGATATTTGAATTTTATGAGATGTTAGTTATTAATGTAACATGTATAGTGGATCAATATGATTTTTTTTAAATAATAAAAAAAATTGACTCAAACACAAAAGTTGAATTGTATTGTGAACTCTATTTGAGTTCCTCAAGTCACTAATCTAACAAACTCAAAATTTTGGATTGGTTCAAAAGATTTCTCTATTCTAATCAACTCTTAATATAAAGATAAGTCTGTAATTAATATTTATTAAACTTTATATTATAATAAATTTGATAGAGACAACCAATTTTTATACTAGATTGATATTGTGACTTTGAGTATAAATTTAAGTAGTTTTGTTTTACCTAAAAGGCGGGAAGAATATTATTCTTCACTTATATACTCATAATCTTCATTTTTCTAAATTAATATGGGATTTTTATTGTACTTCAAACAATTGTCCCCCAAACAAAGTACCACGGAACCTTTCCTTTTTAGGCTCACTAATTTCTTTATTCGAGTCTGAAATATTCTACCCACACGACTAAGTCAAAGACACGACCCTCGTAACAATTGACTAGGACGACATAAATTGTTCATTTGGGCTCAGGCCCAGTAGAATAATAACTCCAATAATATTGGCATTGAATTCTAGCTTATATTATTTATATGGTTATGTAGTAAAAAAATATTTGTTTATTGAAAAAAAAAAAACTCTAATAAGATTCATTCTAAATACTTGTACGATTATTTAATATTTTATTTAATTATTATCTGATTAATTTGGGGGGAAAAACAAATTTGGTCACTATCATTATTTTGCGATAAATTAACTGCTCCATCCAATATTTATCATATTAATTTCCACTGACAATGAAAGTAATAGAATTTATATATTAATTATTTAATTAGAATAAATGGTTGTTTAAAAAAAATAACTAAAAATAAGAAGGGAATCAAAATAGTTATATTTATTTATGTATTTAAAGAAAAAAAAGTGGAGAGATGAGAGATTAAAAGGTAATATAAAACTGGGAATTTCCGAAACTTAGGGGCACGGGGAGTGTGAAATTACGACTTTGGTCATGGATCTTATGGGCCTTATGGGCCTTTCTCTGTAAAGTCAAAAAAGCACATGTGGGTCCCACTACTACCCTCCACTAAGTCAGTTTGACCATGCCCTAAACACGACACGCTGGAAACATTGACCACAAAACATGCAACTTTTGTTTTAATTTATTATTTTTAGTACATTTTCTCTCTCCTCACATTCCAAAATTTTGTTATGTATTAACAACATACCATTTGTTTGACTTTACTAGCGATTTGTCCCCAAATATGAGTTGAAGTCAAACTTTTTCAAACCAAACAAATAATGATAATTGATCTAACTTGTAGACAACGGAGGAAATGGATTTAAAATCGGAGAAGGGGACTGTGAATTCTCTGACAGAAAAGTAGAAATGTGTAGCGAGACTATACTACCAAAATGATTGCATTAAGTCATCAGTGATTTATAATGATAATTGATTTAATTAGCTCGAAAACAGGGAACACAGATTTAAAATTGAGGAAGGAGACTGTAAACACTGATAAATAAGTAGAAATTCGTAGCAGAGATTATACTACCAAAATAATTATATTGAGTCAACAGTAGTTTATGATGATAATTGATCTAATTCTTTCGAAAACGAGAAAAACAAATTTGAAAACTGAGGAAAGAGACTGTTAACTCTGACAAATAAGTGGAAATTCGTAGCAAAGACTATACTACCAAAATAATTATAATAAGTCAACAATAGTTTAAGTTCGAGCATAATCGATTGATAAGAGCTTCAACCAATTAAGTGAGAGATGATATCATAATTGGTTAGTTGACAAGAGGCTCAAGAAAAGTGAGGGAAAACATCATGATCATGCTGGTCAAGAATTTCAAACCATTTTACCTTACTTTCAATTCACCTTGATTATTCATTTAAGGCCATTTTAAATATATTTGATTTTTTAATTGTTATTAAGATTATATTCAAAATTAACTTGAATAAAGATTTGAAGATACAATTTATTACATCTGAAAAGTTGAAAACTATAGAACTACTTCTGAATTCATCCTTTTTTTTTTTATGAAGACTTAAAAGGTTCTGTTATACTTTCCTACAATAAGATAACTAACAAAAAAAAAATTTAAAATTATGATTTGAAGAGAGAACAGTGGAATTACTAATACTAAGGAAGCAGAGGAAGTTTAATTTAATGAAATTGTATATCAAAAAGTGGATCAAAATTCTGTACACATGGCGGATCCAATGCTTCCATTATTCAAACATCCAATTCGTCGCCATCGGAGGAGGGGAAAATCCTCCCGTCCGATCTGTTTCTGCTCAACATTCGTTTCAAAGACGCTCCAAGCGACATCAATGGCTGATCAGTCGAAGAACTCGACGAAGATAAAGAAGACGAAGAAGAAGAAGAAGAAGAAGAAGAAGAAGAAGAAGAAGAAGAAGAAGAAGAATGAAACTGACCGTTTTGCCCCTCGTTTCTCTGAATCTCACAATTGCGCCGCTCCTCCGTTACAATCTCTCCTCCGATTTCCCTCTCGCCACTCAACCGGCCGGATTCTACCGCATCGGAACAATCCGCGGCGTCGCCAAGCACCGGCGCTCTACAAACAGGACAACTCGCGTGAGAATTCAGCCACATATCGATACACTCAAGGTGAAATCCATGGCTACATTTCGGCAATCTTCGTCCAAGCTCTCGTTCCTCAAATTCACTGAGGCAAATCACGCACTCCATCACCGCCGCGCACTTCTTCTCCTCGGATTCGTAAACGAACAGAGGAATCGCAGAGATTACAGACGGATCGAGGCCTTTCGACGGAGCGGCGCCTGAATCGAATGGAACCGAATCAAAACGCGAGAGGCGAGGCGGACCGAGGACGTAGGAGACAGTGACAGAAGTCCGGCGGTGGCGAGGCTGAGGGAAGAAGCAATTGGCGTAGGCGTGGAGGAGAAGGACGAAGAGGACGACGAGGAGAAGAGAAATGAGAGCGGCGAGCATGATGTTGCTGTTGTAGGAGAATATGCTCTGAGCGAAACCGATCAGCGAAGTGGAATTGAACGCCATTGTAGGTGGCCGGAAAAGGTAGAGAAAGTTGCAGAGAAGCGGTGGGTGCCGTTCCCGGCGGAAGGAAGTAGTAGAAGAAGAAGAAGAAGAAGAGTGAGAGTGTTAGTTATTTATGGCAACGAATCTTTTCTCCGTGAACCCAGACGGGGTCTCCGTTTTTCGGATTAAATCGCGGGTAACGTAACATTTACTTGAATGCCCTCAATTTCATAATTATTATTATTATTTTTATTTTATATATTAAAATATACTCCATTTTCTCTATTTAACTCGAGCTCGTTGATTAAAAATTTAAATTTTAATATTACAACGTAGTCTTTTTAGTTTAAATATTACAATTAAAGTATCAAAATTAACTCATTTATTTTTTTAGTATACCCATATATATTAAGCGAGACAAGGCAAAGAATTGGGTGGAGGCGGAGAATATAATCCCGTCCCCGATCCTATTTATCTAACGGGAAAAAAATGTTCTTCCCTCCCTATTCTCCGTTTAAACAGGAATGCCCTCCTTATTATGGCGGGTCTCCAGTGGTAAGATGGACATTTCTAATAGGAAATTCCATTATTTTAATTTTGTATCTAAAAAGGAGAGATATCTGTTTAATCTGGTGGGTACTGTCCTAAACTGAATGGAGAATCTTTGTTTTCTTCCCTACTCCCTGCTCCATTTCCCGTTTAAACCGGGAACAAGGGAGAGAATGAAAAGAGATTTCTCCCGTTAGCTAAATTGAGCAAAAGACAAGATTATATTCTGCCAAAATCTCGACCCCAGCAGTATTATTGTAGAGTTACATTTCATTTATTTACATTGAAGGGCGTGTAATTTAATAATGTGGAGGCATTAATTACATTTATGAATAGAGTCAATATTTTAACATTATTAGATGAATAATTGACATTATAGACACTAATTTTTCTACCATTGCGTGTTCTACTCATCCATCTCTCTCCTCGAACTCCATAAACAAAACTGGCTCAAATGGAGGACTCGTGAAGGCGACGGCAACCCGGTGGCCGGTGGCGGCGGCGGCGGTGGGTCTCAACCTTTTTTTATTGTTAAATTCACCTTGAATTTGGATTTGGGTTCTAAATTTTGGTTGTTTCCGGTCATGGGTACCATGTGATTCAACCTTTTTTTTGGTAACTAGTTATTGTAGCGGTGTGTTTTGAATCATTGAGCTTGACTCTAAATGCATAGATGTGCCTTTTTTTTTTCAACGTTAATCGGTAGCTATCGAACAATAACCGGGAAAATAGTCTCAAACCGACTCAAATCATCCAGAACTATTATGAAGTAACCAATTTGAACATATTTCAACTGGTTAACCTCTACGAGTCAAAATTGTTTGACTTCTTTGAGTCAGTATGACTTCAGTTGACTTGATTTAACCATTTTGAATTGTCTCGTAATCGTTTTTTTATGTAATTAAGATAAAAAAAATGTCAATGTCGTTACTATCTAGAATAATCAATAATATTTAACATTGTTTAAGCTCGATTTTCTAAGTGAAAGGAATATCATAGGAGAACCTAAATTATGGTTGAGCTAAACCTAAGAACGGTTAGCTATAATGAACTTAGGAGCATCAAGTAGAGTTGAAAACGGTAAGTGAGCTTACTGTTGAAGAACTTACTGGCTAAGTTGGACGAAATTAATTGATGCATGAATAACACTTGTTCTATGGTCCCATTTACGTGATATTATTTATGTTGTAGCTGTTATGCTAGATAAGCACAACTAAACCTTTCTCATGAAGTTGTCCGACCTGAGCCATAAGCAACATTTCTTTAGAAATCTTTGTACGGTTGCTTTTCTTGCTATGACATTACCACTCGAAGTGTCATAGTTTACGACAATTGGAGCACTCAACAATAGATTTGTCAAAATTGTCCTTCATCGTCCTCGATCCCATCCTCTATAGCTGACATGATCTCGTCCTCAATTAGATGTTTCTCCATAAGTCGCTTTCAAACCATATTCCTCTTTTGTGTCAGTCATCCTTTGTTCATGCACTGATAAACGACTACTAGTGTCTTGAGCCATAGAACGCAATATCTTTTCCACTACTTCGATATCACTTTTGTTTTCATCGTTAGCCTTCATCTTGTTCTTAATTGTAAGTAGACGAGCTAAATAGTCATTCACAGTCACTCTTGTTCTCATATATCCTTAAATATGTCTTTCTTGAGAACTATTTTAGGAATGAAACGATCCAATGGTTGAAAAAGATGATTCTTCGCTTTCATGTCCTCGAGCTTCTGCTCATCAAGTTGGCGTTGTTGTGTCGCTTTCTACTCATCAATTGACGTTGTTGCATATCTGTCAATATCGTTTTGCACTCTTTCGTGATATGAACCAAAACGTTTTAATCATGTAATATGAACCAAAACGTTTCAATCATGTAATATGAACGTTAAAGAAGATGATTACCCTGAGATAAACTTCTACCGTAAAAAAGAATCAAGTTTCATCGAGTTCACATTATTTCATGAAATGGGCCTTGGGATTCTAATTTATTGTATGGTGGAGTAGACCATGGGGATTCAATCCGACCCTTAATGGGCCGGATTCTACAATCTGTTTGCTATTTTCGGCCCAATTAGATCTAGGGTTTGCCTATAAATACTGCATCATCTCACGCACAGCTTCTTGATTCTACTGTCTCCTTCCGCCGTTCGTCTGCTTGGGGACGAGCATTTGACAGGGAGCACTCAACCTTTTTCGCGGCGTCGCCATGAGAGCTAAGGTAATTGATGTCAAGTTTCATCAATAGATTCTACTTGTTGTCAGCCTGAACATCATTTTCGCTTTGCTTTATCGGCTCTGACGTTTTCATCTTTCGCTTTCTGGCAGTGGAAGAAGAAGAGAATGAGGAGGTTGAAGAGGAAGCGCCGAAAGATGAGGCAGAGATCGAAGTAGTGGCCGTTATCTGAGGGATGTTTTCCGACCTATGGTTTTGGTTACTGCTTAGATTGCTTTATGTTATTCTAGTTTTGATTGCGTAACCGCTTTGAATTTTTTTTTATGATCGATACATTTAGTTGTCTTTAATCGAGAACTTGTTTTCCAGCTTAACTGTTTTAATTGAGTGATTTGATATGCTATTTATGTTAGGAATCACGACTCTCCACCATGGTATGATATTGTTCACTTTGAGCATAAGCTCTCATGGTTTTGCTTTGGACTTCCCCAACAGGCTTCATACCAATGGAGATAGTATTCTCTTTTCACTTATAAACCCATGATCTTCCACTAAATTAACCAACGTGGGACACTCCCAATCCCAATAATCCTCAACAATCCTCCCCACCCATGATCTTCCACTAAATTAACCTGTGTGGTACACTCCCAATCTCAATAATCCTCAACAATCCTCCCCTCGAACAAAGCACACTATAAGCCTCCCCTGAGGCTTATGGAGCTCTCGAATAGCCTCCCCTTAATTGAGGCTCGACTCCTTTCTCTGGAGCCCTCGAACAAAGTACACCATTTGTTCGACACTTTAGTCACTTTGGACTACACCTTCGAGGCTCGCCTTTCTTTGTTCGATATTTGAGGATTCTATTGGCATGGTTAGGTTTAGGGCATGGCTTTGATACCATGTTAGGAATCATGACTCTCCACAATGATATGATATTGTCCACTCTGAGCATAAGCTCTCATGGCTTTGCTTTGGGCTTCCCCATTCCTCACTTATAAAACTCATGATCTTCCACTAAATTAACTAATGTGGGACACTCCCAATCCCAATAATCCTCAACTAATTTTCCTGTTTTAATCATGGCAATGTGAAAGCATTAACTCATTGATTTCTTCAACAATATGCATTTCGAGTGATTTATCCGTCTTTGATTTTGCTGAAATATCAAGTTGATCTTAACTTGCTTTGCTTGTCTTCGAGAAACTTAATCTTTGGTCAACTATATATTGTTGGGAGTCAGTCTAGAAATTGTTCTCTTGAGCCCTTATGACGATATTGGTATGAGTTCAGAATTCCAAAGCTCACTAAGAGGAAATGCAGGCATTAGGATACCTGCATTTGTGAGTTAGTAGAAACCCAATACCACATGATAGATAAGAGACTCTGTTCTATTGAAAACTTGGCTGTATTTATGAGGATCAATTGGATGGTTCCTCTTGGGATTGTAAGAGTTCAATTACCTTTGCATAGGTAATATTAGTTATGCCGATAGCCCATTTTCCTTGCGATTTTGTGAATTAGTTTCGATAGCTACTCAAGTGTTCTTATTAGAGTTGTCAACAGCCGACAAGATTCATTCCCTATTTTCGTTCACTACTTGGCCCAACTTTCTTCAGTCCTTCATTCCCTATTTTCGTTCACTACTCGGCCCAACTTTCTTCAGTCCTTCAAAAGCCACCATATCTTGCGTATCCAAACCACATGCGTGCTGGAAGGTTATGAGTGGGTTAGCCATTGTTTGTACATTCTCGCCCATTTTACAACGATGAACCCTCTTCATTATAACGTCCTTCTCCAACTTTGGATTGTCTATATCAACACTTCTCACTTCTAAGCACTTGAGGTCTCCACAAAACATTCCCTTGCCCTCCGGCCACTGTGGGGAGTGCTTCACCACTGCCCTCTTGTCCAGCAGCAATACTATCCTCCTATCCAACCACTTCAGGTGCGGCATCTGGCGCTTCCGCTTCTTTGGTCAACCAGTACACGAACTTCTATACCCATGTCTGTTCTGGTTCCGTTGAATTCGTTGAAATGGATGTTATAACATAATTCTTTTTTATTTTTCGTTCAAATATGTTGATAAAATTATAACTTAAAGTATATGTGGCACCTCTGATCATTGTGAATATAAAATTTGACTTTTAGATTTGAGTCATTTTTTAATTATGTTTTATAGGGAATGACATATTAGACAAAATCATGTGCATCTTCCAACGTATGATCATCATTCTTAATAAATTGTGCATGTAATCTTTGTTTGTTGAACTATTTAATAAAGTGAAAAGTAATGAATAATGTTGACATACATGACGGAATTGTTATTGTTTAGTTTGTCTATTGTTATATGTACCACCATCACCAAATCATGTTGCCGTTAGTTTTAAAGAAGGCAAACCCACCAGAAAACATGTCACAATTCATTCGTATTCTTGGCTAAAATCAGACTCCAACAGTAAATGTGAAAATATATGTACCAAACATTACAAACCCAAACGTTCCAAACCCATGATCAATTGTAGTTTGCTTGTGACAAATGGAACAATCAATTGAACCAAGTCACATTCTTTTGGCCCCACCCTCATAATGTGCAAGTGATCTTGATAAGATCTTGAAGCGTACTTTATATAAACAAATACCAAGAAACAAATACCGGCACTTGATGAAATGCAAACAACGTGGGTGTAAAGTGACTAAAAACACCAAGAACACCATAGATCAAAGTAGTGTATATGAATCCAGTTCCAGGCGCCGCACACACTATGTGCAATCTACGCTTCAAACATAGTGTCCTATTCATCGACACTTCGTTCTCATTATTATATGGTGAAAATAGGTGAAAGCACGAGAGAGATCCAACCATCTTCATGAACTTCATTGATCGATGCCGAGAGGTAAAGTAGCTCGATCCACCAAAAAAAAAAAAAAAAAAAAAA